ATGAAGTGAAATAATACGATTCCTTTATATTTGAGGAAAAATATCGTTGGATTATTCTTTAGTAACTGGTGTTACGTTCGTTAATGTTTTCATTCAGTGTGTGAACGGGATTAATTATGGTGTGTATTGAACTATTGAATTGTTATTGAATTGTTCATAAATTCAATTATTAATGGGTATGTATTGTATTGCTACGCATTATATAACCACGCGTTATATAGCCATACGTTATATTGCCGCGTGCTATATCGTCACGCGTTGTATTACTACGCATTATATCATCAGGTGTTGTATTACTACGCATTGAATCACCACGCGTTATATTGCCACGCGTTATATTTCCACGCATTATATTGCCACGCGTTATATCGCCACGCGTTATATTGCCACGCGTCATATCACCACGCATTATATTTCCACGCGTCATGTCATCACGCATTATATTGCCGCGCGTTATATTTCCACGCGTTATATCGCCACGCGTTATATTGCCACGCATCATATCGCCACGTATTATATCGCCACGCGTTATATCGCCACGCGTTATATTGCCACGCATTACATTTCCACGTGATAACTCGCCACACGTTGCATTACTACGCATTGTATCTCCACGCATTCGACAACCTCGCGATATATTGCCATTCATTAATTTTCCTCGCATTATATTGCCACGTAGTGTATTTAACGCATTATATGGCTAACAGTATGCATATTGCTACGCTTTACCTTGCCTCGAATTATATTATCTCGCGTTACATTGCCACGCATTATATTGCCACTCGTTATATCGCCAAATATTAACTTGTCATCTGTTGTCATGTATTGAATCACTACCCATTATATTGCACATCGTACTGCCATTTATTAAACTATCATGCGTTTCAATCTATTATATCGCCTCTAATTAAATTGCCAACACGCCATGTAACTCAATGTACTAACTTGTGTATTTACAACTTCTACATTTTGTAACCAATAGTTTCTTAAAATCTATAAAAATGATAAACATTTAATAGATATATGAAAATTTGTACCGATAGAAAATTTTCTCTTGTAATAAATCATCTAGCACTTTCCAGTTCCCGAACTGGTAACCTTTGAATGAGAGTAAAAGCGAAACCGGAAGTTATTTCTGGTAGAAACCTCAGCGGCCGAAGAATCGAGGGTCGTATAATCGTTCAATTACCACCTAACCCTAATCCAACCGATTCGGTCGAGCAACAGATAAGATTCAACGCGCTTTCGTTGTTACGCCGTGATCGATCACCGTTATGCTGTTCGATGATCCACAGCGAGCCACGTCCGTGATTTGTACTTGTCATTTTGCTTTCCACGATTCGCAATCCACCGACTAATGCACGGCTCGTTACGATGAAGAATCCTCTGATTAATCAAACTTTTTGCGATCTGAATCGCAACTGAGCGAACGATACCCCTTGCGTCATCGAGATCGATACGTTAAAAAGATTTCGACATTTCTTCCCTTTTCTCGTAACTGACTTACGCCGTACATCGTCGGAACGGATATCGCGATTTAATTAAATGGATTAATTTTCAATTAATTCTGTTATAATTTATACTTTACCGTTAATTATAATCGCTTGATATTTTTCTCATTATTTTCTTCACTTTGTATTTTCTGTTTAATGCGCGTACGAGCGTGACATCATCGTTGCAAAAGTATTAACTATCTGATTTATAATTGCTTTCAAGACGTTGCAGGAACGTTCGAAAGAGAAAAAAATGCCGGACAGAATTCTGAATTTAATTGAAAAGAGCAGTATGATGAACAGATGTCATTAATATCTGTCTGCAGGTTTCGCACTTGTCCCAAAAGTATCAGCTTCTGTGCGGCCCAACGTTGTTTTCGACAAATTTTCTCCGCGAGCTATTAATTTCTGCGATCATCACATTGGCGCTCGACCCGAAACAACAGAATTACCCGACGGAATCGCTAGACATCGAAGAATTTGATTTACTTACATAATCAATTACAATATCCCATCGGACGTTCAAATTCTCACGACTTTCATAATCTTACGCAATGATGCTAAAGCGGTACGCATGACTTATGTAACGAAAATCGAATGTCCTTTTAATACCGCGCAATTCACTCGTAAAAGGACTTTACGACGTGCCTCCTCTTTCGGCTCCTCTTTATTTTAAACACTTTTTGCGTTCAATTGAATCTTTTTTCTGTCACTGCGAACATTGAATTGCGTGCGCACACGATACGCGTCAAATTTATCTCGCGATGTACGGTGAGTGGAAAATGAATTAATTTGCTCGAACAAATTTGGATGGATTGTGTTTGAGGGTTATAAGGATTTGGGGATAGAGGGATTTTGGGATCTAGGAATTTGGGAATCTAGGGATTTTTGGATCTATAGATCTTGAGAGCTAGGGATTCGGGGATATAGGGATTTGGGGATATAGGGATTTGGGGATATAGGGATTTGGGAATATAGGGATTTGAGGATATAGGGATTTAGGGATCTTGGGATGTGGAGGATTTGGGAATTTGGGAAATTGGGAATTTGGGAATTTGAGAATGTGGAAATTTTGTAATTTCGGAATTTGGAAATTTGGGGATTTGGAAATTTGGTAATTTGGTAATTTGGTAATTTGGGAATTTGGAAATTTGGTAATTTGGGAATTTGGGAATTTGGAAATTTGGTAATTT